TTTATATTGCAGGGAATCCCACCCTGAAGTCCAGACTTCAGGTACACATTAGGCATGCTTGACTGTATTGTTCAATGTTTAACGAATTTCAACATATAACAGGAGAAAGTTGGATTGTTATAATAAAACTGTGCCATTTGTTGTGGGAGATTCATCATAAAAACGGAAGTAAAGTAGCAGAATGAGTTGGTGTTTCAATGGTTTGTATGCGTGTGTGGATGCGTGTGGGTGTTTTACTTTTATAACTTAAATGTTTCAGAAAGGTACAGATGTGAAAAGTCAGAATTTATTGAATACATCTCAAGTATAGATTATGTTTAAATTGAGGTGAGAATCTTGGAAATGGGACTGTAGATTGGATCTTGGGTGGACAGTGTAGTTTATCCAAGCTTACCTTTAAATCTAATGGGCAGGACAAAAACACCCACTCTAGGTGTTAACGGTTCTATGATAGTGTCGAAATGACTTAAAGTCTGCTGAAAATTCAATCAATAAAGTTAGTGTCATTGATATTTTAGATACCAGTCACCTTGAAACAATCATCAGCTCGACATGCAATAAAGTTATCCTTTAAGGAACATTAATCTTCACTGTAATGAACTACAGTACTGCTACACTATGAATGGTTTGCACCAGGAACAGCACATTCACAAGTTCACGTTACCTCTGCTTTTGAGTGGATCAGACCGAGAGGGTGTTTGTTAGTGAAGCACTACTTGTCACAATGAATTAACTACTGACCCACAATCTAAGAGAGACAGAATGTGTGCAGCCTCTATCTTCAATACATTTTATACTTATAATATGGGTGGTATTTGGTGCATTGCTTCTTATCTCAAAATTTACATTTTGCCAAACACTTATCTTGTCTTTTTTTTTGACAGTCTAATGTTATTTAAATTAAATTAATTCGAGCCCCAATTTAATAACCATGAGAGTCAGGAAACTGCAATAAAAATATTTGTAATCCATTCTTTGTTTGTAGTAAGGTGTAAATTGGAAGAATAACTTTCTAAATTACTAAAATGTGGGGAAGCAACGATTGGCCCAAGTTCACTTGGAATTGGTGTGAAGTCAATCCCAGTGCTGGACACAAGTTCATCATTGAGCGCTGACATACAATAGCTCCTCACAATGCGACCATATGACATTTCCTCTTCGGACCAGAGTCTCGTACCACCCCAAGGTGTCCAGATGTTCTGTGGTGATCTACCGAGGGAAGGTATTCAGGGTCACAAGGATAGTAAATGGAGATAATGCATATTAACCTACGAATTAGCGGGTGCAACAAACTTGGGGAACACATTTCAATGACCAGAGTGAGATGTTTGTTTGCCAAGCGTTGTCTCTTTTTTGGATGCAGTCGTGAAAGGAGCGATCGCTCACTTCCAAAAAATAACAACAACTTGGATATATATAGCGCCCTCTATGCCGGACAGCATCTCAGAGCGCTTCACAGTAACGGATCCCAGGGCTGAGCCGGGGGGAGGGGGAGGAAGGTGACCAAAGGCGAGGTCGAAAAGAAAGGTCTTCAGCAGAGACCTGAAAGTAGGAAGAGAGGGGGCGAGGCGAAGGGAGTGAGGAAGGGAGTTCCAGTGCCTCGGGGCATAGTGGCCTGAAGGCACCGCCGCTGAGGGTGGAGTGGAGGACTCGGGGACAAGGATGAGGCTAGGCCCGGATCTGGATTTTATGGATGGTAGTGGAGGGGAGACCGGCGAGGAGGGTATTTGAATAGTTCAGCCGAGAAGTGACAAAGGCACGGACCAGGGTTTCAGCGGCTTTCGGAGTGAGATATTGGTGGAGACGGGCGATGCGTCGGAGGTGGAAGAAAGCAGTGCTGGTGAGGGACCAGATGTGGGGGAGGAAGGATAATTGGGGGTCGAACCTGACGCCGGGATTGCGTACGGGCTCAGAGAGTTTTAGGGGCAGGTCGGGTAGGTGGAGGAGGTGAGAGCCGTGAGATTTTAGACATTGACGAGAGCCAAAGAGTATGGCTTCCGTCTTATCAACGTTCAGCTGAAGGAAATTTGCGCTCATCCAGTCCCTGAGATCTGACAGGCAGGCTAACAGAACATCAGGGGACTAGGGGTCGCAAAGAGAGGTGGAAAAATAAAGTTGGGTGTCATCCGCATACATGTGGAAATGCTCCCCATGTCTGTGGATGACATTCCTAAGAGGGAGCATGTAGATCAGAAAAAGGAGTGGGCCAAGGATAGATCCTTGGGGTACCCCTCAGATAACCGGGTGAGAGCGGGAGGAGTAGCTGTTTGTGCAGATGTACTGCTGGCGGTTTGTGAGGTAGGACTCAAACCAGGCGAGTGCGGTCCCACTGAGGTGGATGATGGAGGAAAGGCAGTGGTGGAGGATGGCGTGATCAACTGTGTCGAATGCAGCAGAGAGGTCCAGGAGGACAAGGAGGCAGAGGGAACCCTGGTCACAGATACAGAGGGTATCGTTTGTGACTTTCACAAGAGCATTCTCTGTACTGTGGGCGGAAACCAGACTGGAGACGTTCGAAGAGGCAGTGGGAGGAGAGGTGTTCGCAAAGTTGATTGGCAACAACGCGTTTTATGACTTTTGTGAGGAAGAGCAGGTTAGAAATAGGGCGGTAGTGGCTGGGTTTGAGGGATCTAGGGAAGGTTTTTTGAGGAGGGGGGTGATGACAGCAGTTTTGAGGGAGGCAGAGACTGATCCGAAGGAGAGGGACTGGTTGATGACATCAGCCAGTAGTGGGCAGAGGAGGGGGAGCTGGGTAACCAGCAAGTTGGTGAGGAGGGGGTCGAGGCAGCAGGTGGTGGGTTTCAGGGAGGTGATGGTGGGTGAGAGGGAGGAGGGACAGGTGTGGAGGAAGGAATGTAGGATGGGGTTGGTGGCAGGAGCTGATGATGGGGAGGGTGAGGGGAGCAGAGAGGGCGAGGTGGTGGGTGACAAGGGACAGGTGGATGAGGCTGCCTGGCGGATGTTGTGAATTTTAGATGAAAAGAAGTCCATGACCTCCTCGCACTTGGTATTGGATATGAAGATTGAGGACGCCTGAGGGGGGGCACGGAGGAGGTTGTGGCGCATATCCGCGCCACAACTGGCACCGCCTTCCATCACCTCCGAAACATCGCCAGACTACGGCACTACCTCACCCCTCACGCTGCTGAAACTCTGGTCCACGCCTTTATCATCTCAAGGCTGGACTATGGGAACTCTCTCCTCGCCGCCTTCCCGGCACCTCCCTCCACACTGCAGGTCATTCAGTACTCTGCAGCTCGTGTACTGTCCCGCACCAGGCTTCGCGACCACATCACTCCCACCCTCGCTCGCCTCCACTGGCTTCCCATCCCCCAGAGGATCGACTTCAAGATCCTCATCCTCACCTACAAGGCCATTCACGGCCTTGCTCCCTCCTACCTCTCCGACCTACAATCCCCTTACTTACCTGCCCGTACCCTCCGTTCCTCTGGCTCCGGTCTGCTCCACACCCCCCGCCCCAACCGCCCTACCATCAGTGGCCGGGCCTTCAGCCTCTCAGCCCCTAGACTCTGGAACTCTGTCCCCCAGTGCCTTCGCCGCCTCCTCCCTTTCCTCCTTCAAAGTCGGTCTCAAGACCTTTCTCTTTGACCGTGCCTTCAGCTCCCCTCTCAACTCTCTACCCCCTCCTCGCCGCCTCCCTTCCCTCCCCTCACCCTGACCATTTTCCCCCTCCTCGCTCCCTCTCTTCCCTCCCCTCACCCTAACCATTTCCCCCTGCTCGGGTCCTGACCCAACTGTCCAGCACTTTGGGACGTCCTCCCGACGTGAAAGGCGCTCTGTAAATGGAATCATGTTGTTGTTGTTGTTGTTTTAGTGGATGGTGGAAAAAAGGATTTTAGGGTTGTGTTTAGCCTCCAAGATGACGTTGGAGTAGAAGGCCTTTTTGTACAAGTCAAAGAACGGCAGTAGCTGTGGAGATGCTCGAGCCACAGATGGCGGTGAACTGTTAAGCCAGTTTTCCGCCATCTGCGCTCGAGCAGCTGGGTTTGCATTTTTAGGTGGCGGAGATGGTTGGTGTACCAGGGGAATCTGGTGGGTTTGGAGATGGTCCTGGATTTCAGGGGCACAAGGGAGTTGAATGTGGAGGAGAGGCGATCATGGAGCAGCTGGATGGCTGCTTCAGGATCTCCATGGGTGGAGGGCCAGAGGGATAGATATTTGAGGATGTTAGGGCCTTTGTGAGGTTCTCAGGGGATAGCCTTTTCCAAGAGCGATAGAGGATAGTTGAGGGCTTGGTGGAGGAGGGATTTGAGAGGAGGAGATGAGGAAGTAGATGAGGAAGTGGTCCAAGGTGGCCTTGTCCACAATGCTAAGGTCGGAAATGTCAAGGCCGTGGGCGATGACGAGGTCAAGTGCATGACCACGTTTGTGGGTGGGTGAACTTATATGAAGGGTGAGGTTTAGAGAGGAGAGGAGGGCAGTGAAATCGGCAGAAGTCGTGCAAAGGGGAGTTTAGGTGGAGATTGAAACCGCCGATTATGAGCAGGTGCTCGGAGCAGAGGGACAGGGAAGAGAGGAGAGTAGAGATGTCTGTGTGGAAGGAGTGGGGGGGGGGGGGGGCGGTAGACCAGGAGGATTTTCAATGGGAGAGAGGGGTGGAAGAGGGCGAGGTGCTCGAAAGAGGGGAAGCAGCCAGAGGAGTAGGGGGTGAGACCAAGGGAGGCTTTGGAAATGAAGGCCAACCCACCTCCACGTTGGTTTGGACAGAGGGGGTGGGGGAGGTGGGGGGGGGGGGGTGGGGGGGAGGGGGTGCAGCCTGGAGGGGAGGCTTCCCTGAGCAGGAACTCAAGAAAAAGACCCCAGGGCCAGGGATTCACAGCTGTGGAAGTCTGATTGTCAGAGCAGCGGAACACTTCACATGACAGGTCCGACTGCGGCCATGGAGTGCAGATCACATGCAGTTGTTGGCAGAGCGCTCCTCCACACATAAATCATTTGCATCACCAGCACAACTCTTACGAACTTCCTTCCTTGTGCGGGAGTGGAGGGGAGTGGAGGGGGGCGGTGGCTGTGTATTTAAATCTGAGTTTGGGATTGGGTTTCTTTCAGCAGCGATCAGAAACTCGTGCAAAGCCCATCGGTGCTGGAGAGCAGAGTCTGAAGGCTGAGGGCTGGTGTGTTGTTACCGAGTCCCGCACAGCCCCGGCCATGGTCAGTGGGGTGTCCGCGCTGCTGCTCTCCGCCATCGCATTGGCACAGTTGGTGCACTCGCAAGGAACAGGGGACCACCAGAAGGACGCGGTGCGGACTGTGTGCATCAGAGACTTCTGTTACATTTTGCAACAGGAAAGCAGAAAGTTTAACATGGCCAGAAACCTCTGCATCGACAGAGAAAGCGATGCAATGACCGTCCGGTCCGCGGAGGCCGCCGAAGCCCTCTCGCAGTTACTGCAAAGCGCTGCCGTTCGGGGCACCAACTTTTGGATCGGATTACAACTGCACCGTAAGAAGTGTCCCAACAACGACACAGAGCTGAGGGGTTACCAGTGGATGGACGGCGACACCGACACCGTCTACAGCAACTGGAAGTCCGTGTCTCCGGACTGCGGATCGCGCTGTGTGACCGTGTCCAGAGACCTGACTTGGGAGGACCGTCCGTGCAACGTGAAGGCGGACGGGATAGTGTGTGAGGTCGACTATAGCGACGGGATGTGTCCGGAGCTGCACATCGCGGGCGGCTCAGTGGTGTACAGGACTCCTTTCGGCGCAGAGAGCTCCGATCTGTCACACGTCCCCCCGCAAACCATCGCCTCGCTTTCCCCCTCGGGATTGCGACTCGAGTGCGTGGACAAGGTGTTTGGTGTTTGGAGCTGGAATTCCCAAACCCCCGGTCCCTGGGAATGTGAGGTGGACGGCGATGCCTATTCCCGGTGTCGCTGCCGCCCGGAATATGAGCTGAAGCGGGACCAGCGGGACTGCTCCATCATTGAGCACTGCAGAGGGCCGTCCTGTCACTATCTGTGCGTGGACCGCTCTGGCGCCGTGTTTTGCACGTGTCGAGATGGCTATGAACTGGACGAGGACGGCAGAAGCTGCAACGAGATCGACGAATGTTTAAGGAAACCGTGTGCAGGCGATGAGATCTGCAGCAACACACCGGGAAGCTTCTCCTGTCACTGTCCCACCGGTTACCGTAAAACCGACGCCCACACATGTGAGGACATCAACGAGTGCAGCAGCGCGGCATCTCCCTGTGCCCACAAGTGTGGGAACACCCTCGGCAGCTTCACTTGCTCCTGTTACTCCGGGTACAGACCAGATCCCGAAGATTTCACGAAATGTGTGACTCATTGCCCCACCAATAGCCCTGAATGCGCTCCGATATGTTTTGGCTCTCACTGTGACTGTCCTGAAGGATATATTTTGGACGAAGCTGATACCCCGACGTGTGTTAACATAGAGGAGTGTCCCAATACCGAGTGTGAGTATGACTGCATCAACTCAGGTGGGACTCATACATGCACCTGCCCACTGGGATCACAGCTCAAGGAGGACGGGAAATCGTGTGAGAAACAAGATGAAGACGGATCAGGCAGCAGAGAGATGACTGAGGGAGTTCCCACACCAACATCGCCCACGAACCGCACTGGAACAGCGGACGCTCACATCACACTCGCGGCTCTCCTCGGCATCATCTTCTCCATCGTGGTCTTGGTTTTGGTGCTGGCCTGTCTGGGGCATCACCTGCTCAAAAAAAGTAGGAAATGGCAAGCATCGAGCAAGTACAAATCCCCTAAGGAGGAGCAGGATGTCAATCTCTCTCAGGTCCTCTCTGCCGGAGATGTCCAACAAAAGCAAAGCCAGTTTACCGATGAGAAAGCTGAGCTGAGGACCTGAAGGGTGTCAGGAGCTATCCCAGTGTTGTGCACAGGGTCAATCAACCTCGTGTGAAGTCATTACAGCGATACGATGCGAAACTATAGACATGTGTACATTTTGGTTGCCCACAATGATACACTGGAATTTGCCAATGCGAACTCGCAAAATACGACCACTTACAAAAAAATAAAGCAAATAGTTAATTAAGCAATTTAAAAAAAAAATAAAAAAAAAAATTTGTTTTCACAGTGAATATTTCCGTATCCCTGTATGTCTGAGATTATGGTTTCTTTGTGCGAGTGTCGGCGTTTGGGGTGCTTTGTGGAGGGCATGGTGTTGTACATCATGTATATCCCTGCCACTGAGAAGCATACTGAGTGATTATCCTGTGTGAAGGCAACATGTAATGCAAGTTATTGTTGTACAACTATGTTTATTGCCTTTAATTTCACCATGACAGTGTAACCATCCTTTTTTTATATAAGCACTTGCATTAATTTTACAAAGATGCAGTTGTCATATAGACCTGGTGCCAAATGTCATGTTTTATTAAAGTTGTTTTCTAAAGAAACACTTCTCTGCCTTTTCAGTTATATTAATACTACTGCTAATAATAATCTTTGCATTTGGTATAGCATATTATTATTTTGTTGAGACGTCTCAAAGTGCTTCACAGAACATATTGTAAAGTGGATTGACTGTATATTTTGTGGGAGAAACGCAGGAACAAAAAGCGCACAGTAGTGTCCAATAAACTGTTGTGGATTGAGTGACCAAATTATTATTTTTTGAAGGGATTCTTCACCCCGAAAATGATCCGCCAATCGACTAACAACCGAGTTCCTACTTACTGCTAGGTAAATAGAGCCGTATGGGGTAAAGAGACTTGTCTAAGGCTTTGCCTTGCTAGTTTCAGTATAATAACATTTAACAGTTTAAATATAACATTTCGTGTCAGAATGGCAGAGACAGCACAATCCACATTATGTGTTCTGGATCTACCCAAAGATCTATCTTACCTGCTAAAAGTGCCATGTGAAACAGTAAAGAGACTTAACCAGTACAGTGCACTGCCTTGTAGGTGTGTAGCGTTTCTCTTTGATTCAGCATGAGCGATCCCTTGGGTCTCATTCCTAATTGCTGCCTGCTAGTGCCTACCACTGAATTGGCAGCAAGTGAGAGGTCCTGTTGCCATCACCTCAAATTGGATCAACGTGAAGCTAAAAATCCTATTCAGCCATTGAATCAGCAAGTTGTGGAACTCGCCACCCAGTTAAGCCCGGATAAAGGTTGGGGCCAGAAAAGATCAGCTTATTCTGTTTAGCCAAAATATGAACAAGAACAACAAATTGCATTTGTGTAGCGCCTTTCATGTCAGGAGGACATCTCCCCTTCCCCCACTCTCGCCGCAAGGCCCACCGGCACTCACGCACGGGAGCCAACCTTTCCTCCCTCACCCACATCCCTACCCAACCCGTCTACCCACCCCCCTCATACCCTCATCTCCCCCACATTCCCACCACTAACTGTCCCCTCCGCATCGGTGTGCAGAACATCGGCTCACTAACAAACAAGTCCCTCACAATCCATGACCTCACCGTCGAGGAAATCATTGACATCCTCGCCCTCACTGAAATCTGGGTCACCCCAGGCGACACTTTCCCACTAGTCGAGGCCACACCTCCGGATTACACCTTTCATCAAACTCCACGGCCTAATCACCGTGGCGGTGGTGTGGCTCTCATCTCCCGGCCCCCCCTCGGCCTTTCCCCTTACTCCTGCGGAACTTCCCCTCCTTTGAACACCTTATCCTCTACCACCCTTCCAGCCTTTCCCTCAAAATCCTCATTGTTTACTGTCCCCCCAAGCCTTCCCCCACCTTCTTCTCAGACATCTCCACCCTCCTATCTTCCCTCTCCCTCTGCTCTGAACGCCTCCTAATATTAGGCAACTTCAACCTCGAATCCAGCCCCTCCAGCTCTACCTCTGCTGACTTCTCTTCCCTCCTCTCTTCCCTTAACCTCTCCCTACACATCTATTTCCCCAACCACGACTGTGGCTATCCCCTTGATCTGGTGATCACCCTGGGGCTCATCATCTCGGAGAGCACCATCACCGACAAAGCTTGCTCTCTTTTCTCCACAACTCCCTCTCCCCCATTCTGGACTCCCTTGCCCTCCTCACCTCCCGAACTGCCTCATACTCCCGTAAATCCCCCTGGTACACCAGCCATCTCCGTTCCCTCAAGGCACAAGTGCGAGCTGCCGAACGCGCCTGGACCAATTCCAAACTAACGGTCCATCGGCAGATCTGGCTTCACCACAACAAGATCTACCGCTGCGCACTTGCCTCCGCCAAGTCCTCCTTCTACTCCAAGGTTATCTTGGAGGCAAAGGACAACCCCCGCCTTCTTTTTTCCACTACAAACTGTCTCTTCCGTCACCTGGCCATGCCTCACACATCCTCTCCTCAAACACCAACTGTGATCAGATGCTGGACTTTCTCGAATCCAAAATCAAGGGAATACGTTCAGCCACTTCTGCCCTGTCCACAGCCACCCCACATCACCTCTCCCTCATGACCCACCCCCTACCCACCCTCCCCTATACTCCTTCGACCCTATCTCTCCCTCCTCCCTCACCATCATCGTTCGGAAACTTAAACCCACCACCTGCTCCCTCAATCCCATCCCCACCTTTTCATCATCTCCCAGCTCCACCTTCTGGTCCCTCTTCTGTCCAACAACATCAACCTCTCCTTGTCCACTGGTTCAGTTCTCCCCCCACTNAAAACAGCCATTATCACCCTTATCCTGAAAAAACCTTCCCTGGACCCATCCCTCCTCTCCAGCTGCCGCCCCATTCTCTAACCTCACATTCCTCTCCAAGGTCCTGGAATGAGTCATTGGGTTCACAGAGCAAATGGCAAGAAAGAGACCTGAGTTCAATTCCAGGCAGAGGGCGAAACCTTGGGCAAATTTCCTTACTCCACACACCTAATAATAATCCCTCCAAAACCAAAAACAATAATAAAAAAAAAATTGTCATTTTCAATCTACGACTGTTTGTGGGACATTGCTGTGCGCAATTGGCTGCCGCGATCGCCCACAAATATACAGTCAATTCACTTTACAGTGTGTTCTGTGAAGCACTTTGGGACGTCCTCCCGACGTGAAAAGCGCTCTATCAAATGCAAGGATTATTATTATTATTATTATGCAAATGCCCTGCTTATCGGCCTTCCCAACTCCTCCCTCCACAGGCTACAGATAATCCAGAACTCTGCAGCCTGTATCCTCTCCCGCACCAGACTCCGCGACCCCATCTCCCCCA